GTAACGACGACCAGGCAGGTTTTGGTCGATGATCTTCAATGGAGCAGGCAATGATAGGCAGTGTGTGGTTGTTGAAATCAGCTGTCAGCGTCAAACATTGAGTGCATGCAAGCGAATTTTGCATGTAGCAGAACTGCCAAGCTGCCCTTACACGGCCATGTAACCTGACGCAAAGTTCGACAGATGGCTGAATTGCTTGTGACGGTTTGCTCAAGCCATGGCTGGCTGTGGCACGCTTGATATTTGATGTCAAGAGCACCAGCTTCCGCCTTGGAATGCTCCTGGCAATATGTTTTGTCCCGGGCGCATCTGCCTCGCGTCGGGTCTTCCACCAAGACAGTGGCTTCATGCGGCTGCTGCCTCGCATGGTCAAAATATACGAGTTCTTTTTTGGAGCCTTGCGCGCAATTTAGTGCGCGCTCTAAGACTCTTGACTATCTCTTTTCATCTAATTTGTTGTCGTAGCTCACAGATTGGCTTAGACGGCGCCTAATTAGACCTAAGGAATGTGCTGGCTGACTGCTTGGCAAAAAGCTCGCCGCTGCTAAGCTTGCAGCGTGGCTTTCGATGCGAAGCGGAAGTGTTGCGCTGGGAGCGCCGCCGTGAGCAGGTCAAGGAGGCGGGACAGTGCTGTGGCACGCGTTCGGTGTAAACCCACCCTACCATGAAGTTCCACATAGCCGCTTGCGAAGGTACCGCCGTTAGCAGTCATGTTCTCAATGCGACTGCTGCGCAATTTCCGTACGCGTTTCAGCCAGCTCGATCTGATGCAGAGAAGGCTCCGTTGCGCGAAGAACCCAGACAGGTAATGAGAATAAAACTGTACGTGTTTACCGAATGACCGCACCGCTGCGACGATTGTCACCTTTCAATAGTCCACGGACAGAGGCGGGGCCCCTGAAGCATACACAAATCTGGCAGCAACTGCTATAAACTGCTCTTTGTTCAGATTTGTGCGTCCTGGTAGTCTTCATCCAGCAGAGCAGCGCAGTAAAGCTCGATGCAAAAATCCATGACAGAGACCTTGAGAATTACAGGAGAGGAGAGGCAGGACCATAGGGCCGAAACTCACAGAGGTGTTTCAAGGCAGCATATCTGATGCACGCAGACCCCATGGCATCTACCCCTTGTCAACGGCACGCCTGCATACAGTGTCCAAACCAGAGGCATGCGATAATTCACTCGCAGTTCTTAAACAACAGCAGCGCGAACGTGGGAACTTTGTGCGAGTAGGCAAGGCTGTGAGTCTAGGGGGGAACGTCGTGGCGTCAGTCCGGGCACCACCCCGGAAAAGTTGCGGATCCTAACGCTCACAAGATTGGCCGATTCATGTTGCAAATGCGCCCAGAATGCGAGACTCGTAAACTCAGAAACGTTGTTATAGGTATGTTATGTGTTCGTTAATTGATGCGGCTGGGAGGAGATTCTGCGGCATGATGCAGACATTGTGGGGCTCTGCGAAGTGGATCATTTTGATGATTTCTTTGAGCCGGAGCTTGAACGAGCGGGCTTCCAAGGAACATTCAAGCGAAAGCGCGCGGTTCTTAGCCCTTTGTGACCCTTGTAGTATGCCACAGTTTCTTGCGAGTTGTGCGGCACTGGAGATATGCGACATGCCCAGTAGCAGGCAGCCCAGCTAAAGATGGAGTCGCTGTGTTCTGGAGAGCAGACAAGTTCGACGAAGGTGTGCGGCGCACAATCTTTTTGGAGAGACTTGGCTTTCCATGAATCAAGCACTCGTTCGTCACGAAAAGCTTCCGTCAAACTTTGTTGCATTCATGTATGCTATGCTGCTTGCTGTTTGACAGCCAGATTCGCAGGTATGGCCGGCAGCGCACGAAAGCTGCGCAGGTAGCAGTGCTGCAGCGGTTGTGGCCTCGTGATCGGCAGACAGGAAAGGGTATCGTGGTTTGCGCGGTGCACTTGCGGGCATCATCCGACGATGGCTTCCGGGTGCAGCAAGCGTCTGCACTGGTGTCGGCTTTACAGGACTTCTCCCGGTGCGACGAACAAATCATCTTGGCAGATGTCAACAGCAAACAGATGATGGGGAGCAGCCGCACAGAGATCGCAAATGTCTTCGACTATTTTGCAGCTTGCGGCTTTAAGTGTGCATACACAGATCTCGGGTTGCAGCATGGACGCAGCAGCCCAAAGTACACAACTTGGGCCGGTTGGGCATCAGGCGATTTCAAAGCTACCTGCGATCACATCTTCGTGTCTAGGGGACTGCATGCTCAGGCTGTCCTTGATGTTCCCGATGCAGACGAACTTGCTGAAAAGTTCCCGGAGAGACTGCCAAACGAGTTTTTCCCTTCTGATCATCTGAGCTTGATCGCCGATTTAGTAATTCCTGACAGCAGGCTTGCCTGACAGCTTGTGCAGCCAAAGTTGCCGCTCCTTCGCGAAAACACCCGACAAGGGCATTTGACCAGTACCAACATGTGCGCGGAACATCACTTCTTGTAGATATGATTGTCGTAGAAAACATAGCCTGCGA